CTTCCTGTGTTTCAACTTGTATCCACTGCCCCTTGATGTCACAGGCCATCATGGAGAAGAGTTTGGCCCCATCCTTTTTACATTCTCCCCTCAGTTATTTATACATATTGGTAAGATCTCCCCTCAGTCTTCTCTTCTCCAGACTAAACAGGTCCAGCTCGCTTAGTCTTTCCTGATACAACAAATGCTCCAGTCCCTTAACCATCTTTGTCGCTCTACACTGGACCCTCTCCAGATGTTTTGCACCCCTCTTGTACTGGGGAGCCCAGAAATGCCCAGAACTTATCCCAGTTTATCCTTATTCTTATTACATGGCAACTCTTCTTTTTTTTTTTTTTTTTTTTTTTTTCCATCATTTAGACCTTACCAACCTGGAATAAAAACATTTATCTTCCACCTTTGCACTGCGACTTATGGATAAATTAACAGAAATGCAAATGAAAAAATTGGAAAGTTTTGACAAGAGAGTATTTCAAAGGGCAAACTAATAATAAGACTCAAATGTTACCATATCTGTATCTTTTCCCCAAATTATTTCCTTTTACTGATATACAATAAATATATTTCCCATGATAAATTTATGAGGTCATACATTGAGAAATCATAGCCTTTAAACATTATTATTATTGTATTCAATATTGTAAATTAGAAATGTTATGATAAAGCAGAAACTAATAAAAATTTAATTCATAAACTTCTACTATCACTGGAAAATACAGGCACACAGCAAGTATCTTTGACAAAAAAATCACTGGTTTTGTACCCAATGTTTCTATTGGAATTCTGTTTTGTATGAATAAACACCGGAAAACAGAAACATTTTTTTCTACAAGCGCTTTTACTGCCTTTATATTAATGTATGCTTTTCAAATTGTCTAAATGGATCATTAATGTTGGCCCAAAGGACAGAGTGCAACTGCATTCTGCAACTGCATTGTGTGACAGACGTGCAGAGGAGCACAAGGGACAGCCTACCTTAAAGGAGCAAGATCATTTATTTCATTACCACATATCTTAGAGGTTTCTACTAACTTAGGAAGATACATGGGCTGTCCCTGTTTGGGACTGTCCTGGGCCTGCCTGGGTTCGATGCTTTTGCTAATGATAGACAGAATATGGAAAGCATATACAGAATATGTAAATGAAATCAATGAAAGAGGAGTTGCAAATGTTCTGGAGCAGAGGATACGAACTCAAAAGGGTCTTGGTAAGTCAGAGAAATAATAGAAATATCTGAAATATTAAAAAGAAAGATGAAAATCTATGACAAGTGTAAGGCAAGACACAGAGCAGGAATCTTAAGTCCAGGTACAAAGTACTAGTTAGAGAAAGACATTTGGAAAACATGTTCTACGGAAAACAGCTGAAAGAAACGAGTTTGCTAAAAGAAGAATATCCATTTTCAATCAGAGGCTGTGGATTGCTTTCAAAGAATCTGAAAAGCGACATAAAAAGGCGTTTTCCCTTATTCGCAGAACCACAGAATGGTTGAGGTTGGAAGGGACTTCTAGTGATCTAGTCCAACCTCTCTGCTTAAGCAGTGAAAAAATATTCTTCAGATAAAGGGCATCTCCACTGGGGAAAAATATATATATATAGGCTGCTATTATGAAAACCTTTTCACTGTTAAGTGAGGCAAAACACTCAAATAGCCGTTACAGGTACACTGTGGTATCTCCCCTGAAGATTTTCAACCATTAGACAAACGGCCACATAACACTTTTTCATACGTAAGTGCTTCCAGCTGGACTAAACAACCAACTACAGTGTTCCCATCTAGCACTGAATTTGCAAGTCTTTCTGCCAGCTGGGAGTCCAGTACAAAGAGGACTCGCGTTTGCACTTCAAAAGCTCAGCTAGGAAACTAATGCTGAAATGCTCTCTCCTCAATCCACCTTTGCTTTACCTTTTCCAGTGCTGCCACTCACTCTAGGAAGGCTAGTGACTCCAGAGCAGCCAGGCTCTTCTCAGCCCTAACCTGGCCAGGTCCCTCAGCACAATCACCAACATAAAATGGTTTGTTATTTGTGACACTTGTGCTACCCCTTTCAAAAGCTTTTATATATAGAGCTAATGATGAATTCAGAGACTGAGCTAAAATATGGGGAAAGCAAGCCCTCACCATTGTCCCCCTAACAAAGGATGCGATCTGAAGCTTACCATCAGGAAATTGCTCTGCATCATCATCAAACATCGCTTCTTTCAAAGCAGATTTATTAAATGAACTTATGCTATCTGAATAGTTGTACGGGTTGTAATCTCGTGACCGTGGTGAAGAGTGGGGAGGCATTGTGTTCAGCAAGGATGTTTTGTTGTCGAGAGCTGTCCGGCCTGTATCTCCAACACTGCCTCCTGCTCGCAGGTCCACTATTCCTGATGCACTGCAAATCTGCAGGAAAAGAAATATCACAGAAGCATGTAAGAACATACTGCAATTTCAATTCACTCCATCTCTATTCTACTTACATAGCAACAGCTTACAAGTTTCAAAACTTTTCCTAATATTCCTAAATCACTTTTTCAAGTTTGCTCTTCAGATAAGAAGCCTTAGCAACAGTTCCCTAGCACTTACAATACTTAAATTTCCTTTAAAAGAAAAAAAGCGTTCTGACATACCTAATCCAAAAAACAAAACCAAACACAAACAAAAAGCTTGCCACCAAAAGATCACAAACTCAAAACAGCTACCAATATTTTACTTCAAAAGTTAGATGCTAATTAATCAAAACCATGTTTGAGCTCAACACACCTAAAAGTCCAAGTTCCATAGACACAGAAGTTTAACATAATGTATGTTAATATCATCAAAAAACCTGTAGTTTTTGTATGCAATGACCTAAAAGACTTCAGAAAAACATATAGTAAGGTATACACCTCCCAAATAAAAATAGGGCCCCAGCTGATTTGCAAGAGAATCCATTTCTAAATTGCCAACATTTTAAACAAGCCAATGGTTACTACTACTTGTAATTAATATCCACATTGTCAAAGCGTGCTGTAAGGCTAGAAGCTTATTTTTCTAAAGTTCTGAAGTTACTTCGGAGAGATGTCCCATTTCAGAAGTCGTAACACATAAATCTCATTAGAACAATGCTTCATACATTAAAAAACAAAAACAAAACTGACAAGAAACACCCCACATGCACGTTTTGACTTGGTTTGCTGATACCAAGATGCACTGAGCTTCAGTACTCACTGAATCACCGTCATCTTTTTTGAAATCTCGTTTCACAGGCTCGTTCATATCTTCTTGACTACGAAAACTGAAATTCTGAATGGCTTCAGTGACTCCACGAAGAGAACTGTAAATATCTTCAGAATTCATATTTTCTGTGTCATAGTCAAATGCACTGTGGGCCATGGACAGAACAGTAGAATCAGAAATGATTTATTTTTTTGACCTCACGTTTTTAATTAACATTCACTTGGAATAGCAGACTCGGAAAATATTAAATAAATGATTGCTTTTCTTTAAACATGGTCAAGAGGAAAGCTGGTTCTCCACACAATAAAAGATATACCATAGTAGGTTGAGTATATCTTGTTATCATTTAAGTGTAGTGCCAATGACACAGAAAGCATTAGGACTGGCTAGCTATTGAAGGGCTGAAGAAACAAAGATGTTTTATTCTAATAAATATGAAACAACTAGAAGCTGTATACCGTTTCCTCTTTCTAAAACATAAGAGTATCAAAGTAATGAATCAGTTTTCACATTAAATTTACTGCCAAAAATTGTAAAAAATCTAAAATCCACTTAACTGGCACCACAAAATTGAGGGCCAAAACATTTATGAACAACTTCCTTTTCAGTCCCTCTAAAAATAGCAAAATACAGCTTGATGACCTAACTGAGCTACTTGAGCATTTGCTAGGGGAAGAAAGCCACGGAGAGCAGCTCCCTCCTTGCTCTCACAATCCCATCTGCAGCCCTGAGAGCACAGTCCTTGCTCACCGAGGCCAGTGCAGGCCCTCAGGACAGACCCATTGGGGAGCCTAAGCAGTTCAGCGTGCCCTCGTTCTGTGCAGGCAGGGGGTAGGTTTTCAGTATCCGGCACTTCTCTGTGAATCCCTTTCTATTCCATCATAGTTGGGGTTACAGTTCTGAGGAACACTTGATGAAGCCCTCAGTGCAGCAGATTACAACACAGACTTACGCTACCTTGGGGACAAAGTGTTCTGGGATGTGTTGGTTGGGGAAGTGAGGGGACTCGACCAGCTGGCTGGTGAGCGTGGAGTAGGTCTTGTCAAAGGACTTCCCATGGGTCCCTGGAGGAGAAGGAAACACACTCTAGTAGGACCTTCAGCTTCCTGTTGAACTTCTTACTGTATTTATTCACCAGTGCCCAGAAACAATTAAACAAATCCCATTTAATCTCTAAGACTGGCTAACCAGTTACCAGTAATTTCCATCAGGTATAACTTATTAATCACAGAAGTACAAGATAAACTACTCAAATACAACATTCAAACTTAGTCATTTTACTTGGAAGCAGCATACACGGTAAAAAATACCAGCCTTTGGAGGGAAAAAGAGAGGAAGGTATTCCAAAGAGCAACACCTGGTATTATTAGGATAAGTATTTTACCTAGGATTGAACCCTTCCTTTCCCCCTCATTTTCTCTCTCCCACAAGTAACTACTGAAATGGAGTCATGATGGGGAAAAAGCAGAACAAAAAAAAAAAAAAAACCCAGTAACGACGGAAAGAATAATCGGAGATGTGTAAATACCTGACTGCTGTTGCCTGTGTTTCGCAGATGATTGTGGAGAAGTTTTGTGGCTCCATCCTGAAATGTTTTGGGTAAAGCACCTAACAGCATTGTAAACTCTGGTGTATTGAGTTCAAAAAGGGAAATCAGCACTGACTGCGCAGCCTACAAGAAGATAAAAAAAAGAAGTTATTAATTTGACTTTCTGAAGTAATTTCTAATCAGCGAGAGATTCAGTTGTGAGCAATAATCACAAGGGGAGACAAAATAATTTTTCCAGCTTGAAGAATAAAGATGTTAGTAGATGTAAACAAAAGCAATCTTTACTGGCTGATAAGCTGGAAGTTCAAATATTTGTAACTTTGGGGACACACCAATGAGCTTTTACTTTGTACAAACTTCCTAAAAAAAAAAAAAAAAAAAAAAGTCTTCCACAAATGTGCTCTTCAAACTTCTTTATTCCCCTTTTCCCCTGACATCCTGCTTGCTCACTCAAGCACTGAAGAAAGCAGCAAAATGATTTTTAGAGGGGTTGGGAAGTTGGGAAAAGTTATTTTAAATAGGTATGTTATTGCATAGCCAGAAGAAAACAGAAAGCAGGAACCAGTCCACAATTTCTTCTCCTGATTTTAGCAAGTGGTAAGAAAGACAGCAGATAACTGCATCTCTTCAACTGGCCCGCTAGTTATCATTTTAGAAATTGAAATAAATAACTCCCAAACCAGATACCCGAATCTGGAATGTGATGATGTTTATTTTGAGTTGTGATTACAGAAAATATACATACACTTTGTAACTTACCCTACAGCCAATCTAGCTGGACTTTTTTTTTCCCCCCAAAGCTTCCTTTATCTTTTAAAGACAGGCAAACACAAGGGAAAAAGCAACTAACTTACTCTCAAGATGAAACAGTTCAGTACTAGAGTTTAGAATCTACTGGATTGCACACTCCTCCCAAATTTTAATACTTGATTTTTAAGGTTACCACATTTTACAATATTTTCTCTTGGTCTGATTGAAAAATAAGAGATCTTTCCTGCTAGAAAGAAGGCAGTAAGATAAGCAATGGTGGGCTTCCTGCTGGGCTCTCTGCTAAAGAAATTTGACTTCCTGAAATTTGTCTTTCTAATATTCTTACAATTTTAACAAACATCCACTTGACGGGCTAACAAGCCTGTCAACAGAGCAAAAAACAAACAAACGAAACACACAAAAAAACGCGGACAAACCCTCCCAAACCCACCCTATCACGTGCAACAAAAAGCAGGAGATTAACAAACAAACGAAACACACAAAAAAACTCCCCCAACCCACCCTATCATGTGCAACAAAAAGCAGGAGATGAAGTTGTCCTGAAATGTTCAATGATCTCTTTTTAGTAGGAGACTCTGACACTAAGATTAAGCACCTATGTGCAGTTTCCATAAAGGCAGTTCACCACCACGGTCTGCCATGCACTGGAGAGAACCAGCACCTAATGCTAAAGAGAACGGTAGGCAGCATGTTTAGGGAACAAAATACTTCCAGCAGGTAGTTCAGAAATTGCTTTTAGACATTTATTTCCCTCCTTTTGCTTTCAGAGCAATGAACTGTGGCATTTTTTAATTAATGGTTGAAAGCCAAGGTATGAGCACACATACCATCACACACCTTGGTATTTTCTTTGTTAAACTTAATATTAACACGTTTGATTGCTACAAGTCATCTTTACACACTGGTGGCCGGCTGTTTCCTCAAATGCTTCTGTCCTCCTCCCCCTGATAGTCTTTTCTCTTGAAGTGAATACCCTGAATGCCCTCTACGTCCTTGCCTTCAGTGTCTCCCTTGTCCTTCTTCTTTCTTATGGTCAATCTTTTAACAGAAATGGATGAAAAGCAAATCCCACAATTGAAAAAAGGCTGGAAAGGCACCATATTTTCTTGCTTGTTGCCTCCATTCCATTAGACCGTGTCTATTTAAACAGCTCATAAAAAATAAAATCAAACAATCAAAAAACCCCACACTAGACATTTGTATCAGAAAAAAAAATGATACAATCAGGTCTCCCCATAATAAGGCTTCACTTATCGTATTAAAATTGACTCACAAAAGTCAAAATATTTTTTTGAAAAAATATTTTAAGATGTAAAGATCCTAAGCATCAGCTTTTCTGCAGCTAGCTGCACCACTTCGGTTTAGGTTTGGTCACACAGGGATACAGCAATAAGAGTTAAAAATATTTATTTGGGATTTTGCTCTCAGAAGAAATACAAAGTCCCAAACCACAAACTTTTACCCTCCAGAAAGAAATGCCATGTCACTGAAATAAACTAAGGTGGC